AATAACTCACCGACGCCTGGCACTGTACCCCAATGCCACCCCCTCCCATCCTCCCCCCCCCTTCCACACACACTTCCAAATATATGATACCGACACTTAACTCTTTCATTCCCATTTTGTTCATCGTCGATAATATAATTATTACTTCGTCATGTTTCCTTTAATTAATTACTAATTAAATTGTACTGATGTTAGGATTTGATATCTACCACCCAACCAACCCCACCCCTTACCCCATCTGGGTCCTCCCAAAGCCTTCACTAAAAAAAAAATAATAATAAAACTCACTATTTAATCCTTCTCATCCTATTACACAAAGCCTAGTTAAACCTACTCGACCCAGATCTACCCTGATCTTCCCCCTCCCTCCCCCCCCCCCACCGAACCTTCCTTGCTCTTCCCTTAATTCCAACCCTTACCCACCAGAAAAGAAAAAAAAAAAAAAAAAAAAAAACTATTACTGCTTCGGTCACCATGGCAACCCATGATGAGCACAAAGCTAAATACCGCCATCAATAAAATCGATCACCTCCTCCCGTTGTTATTCAGTTCAACATTTTTTTTGTTTTTTTTTTTGTATGGACACTGTGTAAAACCGTTTTTTTGTTTGTTTTTTTGTTGTTTTTTATGTTTTTTTTTGGTTGTTTTTTTTTAAAGGCCAATTTTGTCAAAAGGTTTGTTACGTTCTAAGACCTGGCAATGAGAGCGGGGCTGATTTATTTATAGGAAGTCACGGACAACTCTGATCCACGCCCGATTGGCTCTGAAAAAAACCATACCATGATGATGATGATAAATTCAACAATGCCACGTAAATGTGGCGTTAAACTGTGACGCGATTGGTTTCTTTTATGTTTGCCTCCACCTTCCCCCCCCCCCCACCCGGGTCCCGATTGGCTCTGAAAAAAACCATACCATGATGATGATGATAAATTCAACAATGCCACGTAAATGTGGCGTTAAACTGTGACGCGATTGGTTTCTTTTATGTTTGCCTCCCCCTTCCCCCCCCCCCAACCGGGTCAATATTGACAGCGCGTTCATAGCGAAAGAGGGCGAAATCATCGGTTGTAACAAGTCTTGAAATGTAAATAGATTCCCTCTGTTGTACCGCGGTACTGTACTGCCATCCTTTGGCACACCTGTCTTAAACGTACTGTACAGGACCATGTTTGCCTTCGTAATGGGACTTCCTTATTCATACCGCACAATTATTCGACGAAAGTCTTGCTACAGAATCATTTTAGGGAACAACGAAAAACTCAAAATAAGGATTTTCAAGCCTGTAAAAAAAAATAAAAAAAAAAATGAAAGTACGATGAATGAAAAAAAAAATCCATATATTTTGGATCGATAAAAGTATCTTATCTTATCTTTTCTTATCTTATAGTGTGGTGATTATCGGTTTTAAATGATGCGTCGTGACACACTGATATGTCCCGAGATTTTAACTTGAGGTCACGCAAGTACAACAAGCGAAGACAGCAACAACAACAAAAATCCCCATGACGTCATTTTTTTAAACTTAAAAACTAGATGTACGTCACGTAATCTCACAAAGAAATTTCCTTTTACACCAGCCTCTTTTTGAGATTTGTTTAACTTCAAATATGGGGTTGAGAAACTTTAATAATTCGTTCAACTCTGTCATATGTTTAAAAAAATAATAATTGAAGTTTGTTGGCCTAAGGCAGGGGATTGCCGGATTGGGCCAACGGGTTTTCTGCGAGGAGCCGTTTTTATAAATGATATCTGCTAAGAGAGAATATTTTGGGGTCTGCAAGTGATTATTAATTAGCATTATTTGTTTTTTTTTAAAGACCTGAAGCCATTCTCTCAAAGAGCTTGCGTGGGACTCCGGAGCTGCAGCCATTCTCTCAAAGAGCTTGCGTGGGACTCCGGAGCTGCAGCCATTCTCTCAAAGAGCTTGCGTGGGACTGCGGAGCTGCAGCTATTCTCCCAAAGAGCTTGCGTGGAACTCCGGAGCTGCGAGTCGCCGACTTCTACCCCCAAGAGAACGCAGAAACGTGTTTCAAAAACACAATGGTACGAATTAGAAATCAACATCCTTTAGTCTACGCCCTGCAAGCGTCTTTATCTAAGGGACGTAATAAAGTATACTTTCTAACAGTGACAATAAACCAGGTTGCGACCCCTTGAATATACTTGCGCGGCGAAATAATAATTTTTACGTACACATTTTTTAATATATTTTTTTACACTTAATCTATTTGTTACTACTGGATTATCGTTTAACTATTTTATTTGTAATATTTTCACTTCATCTGTTCATAAAACGCTGACATTCGTCGAGGTCCATAAACTCAGACACCTGTCAGAGACAAACGGGCTTTCCTTTGGCCGTTACACCAAAACAAAAACAAAAAAACAAAAAACAAAAAACAAAAAAATGTTTTCTAACGCAGTCGTGAATCAAGTAAGATATTTATATCAACGTTAAATTTTGTTATGAATCTTAAGCGTTATTTAACCTGCACACATCCATTAACTGTTTACACAATAATTATCATGGCGCAGTCCCCCGAAAATTATCAGTCTGTCGTGGGGAAATTTTGAATACGGACGCGGTGGTAAATTTTAAGCACAGAAAACAACAGAGAACATTTGAAATAGTCTGTTACTGAGTAAATGGGATGAATAAAGCCCCATTGGTGGAACTGACATAATAACAAGGGAAAACACGCATTTTAATCTGTTAAAGTAATTTTTTTTTTAAAATAATTATTATTATTGTATTAGAAATAATCCGTGAGAAACCATAGAGGCACGGGACAACACAGGGCTCCTTCTGCCCCCCCCCCCGACACATCCCCTCCTTTCACTCCTTTCACTTCATTTCACGCCATTCAAAGTTACAGCTCACACATTTCCATTTTTTTAAAAAAAAATTTGGTATTTAAAAACAACATATTTTAACTATGTCAAAAGTATGATATAAATAAAATAAATATTTTAATATAGTTCAACCTATGTTAATAGAATTTACAGCTAAACTCCCCAAGATCTCATGTCAAAATATTTTGTTAAACCCCGTACATCATGTATCATTTTAAAAAAAAAACACATAAATTATCCTTTATTTACCAACTGCACTCGAGTTTCGGAAATCGCGCTTTGTGTGAAAAGAAAACATTGTCTAATGATTCAAAATTTGGAAAAAATTATTTGAAATTTTTCTTACAAGATGTCTCTAAGTTTGTTTGTTTTTTTGTTTGTTTGTTTGTTTGTTTGTTTGTTTGTTTTGTTTGTTTGTTTGTTTCTTTTCTTTGTGGTCAACACATTATTTAATGTTAAAAGCAATTATAGACAAGAAATTATAACTAGTCTAAACTCTATTAAAATAGGAACTCAACTCTATCAATATTCACTAAACTTTACAGTTTAACTCCATTGGATCTCATTGGTATTTTCTTTTTTTTTTTTATGTTTGACAACTTAAAAGTAATTCATTTGTAACATCGATGAATGCAATAATCTAATCAGTAAAACAAAAATATCTCATGAAGATGAACAACAAAAGAACATAATAAAAGAACGTGAAATAATCCACATTTATTTGACGTACTGTCCAGCAGTCTTTCCTTGCGTAATTCATTTTAAGATGATGTAAATTATTTCATACTTTTTTTTTGTGTGCGTTTTAACTCGTCTTTGATAGAAGGTCTCTTTTTTCATTTTTTAGTTTTTTTGTTTTTTGTTTGTTTTTTTTTTTTTTTTT